CAGACAGCAGACAGACAACGTTAGTGGACAAAGTGGAGCATTTAGCCACAAAAGAGTTTTGTCAGGAGTTGGTAGAGAACAAAACAGAGCTAAGAAAAGTTAATATTGGACTTAAATCCATCAAGTTGCCAGAAACCAGACTGCAAATGAATGCTAACGTTGCTCTACAACTGGATGTGTAAAAAGGCAACTGTTTGCTCACAAATTTAACAAGACAACAATAAAAGGGACTTTTAGACACTATCATTAACGACACATAGATGGCCGTCGAGTGTTTACAAGAGCGACAGCCGCCATCTTCTCCTCGTCCTCTCATGCCGTTGTTTACATTGAAAAGAATGGAGGCTACAGATATTATGTCAGTGTTGTGTTTACAGGCTGTTGAGTGAGCAACAACTCATTTAATGCAGGTTTCATAAATCATAAATAAGATGGTTTATTAGCACTATGTCAAATTGAAGGCCCTTCTGGTGATCTGCAAATGCACTTGTTTTTACCCGCTAATATTCTATAACAGAGATCCATGTATACAATATAATATAATCAAATTCATCCTTACAGTGTATTTATATGCACTGCATCACAGTACGCCATCTATCAACACAGAAATTCCAGAACAATAATCAGGTTAAGTGCTCCAGTAGGTGGGAGGACCTCTTGCAGCAGCAACTATGTGATATTATTTTTTTTTTTTCTAAGTAATGAGAAACCATTACAACCAAGACATAAGTTCCTATGTGTAGGGTAAGTGCAGGGAGCAGCCCATTTACTGACAAGTGAACCTTAACATGAGAACTAAATTCAAGGGTGGCCAAGATCCACGCAGGCCATCTGCCAAGAATCCAATAGAGCAAATGGTTGGATCGGTGCAAGCCCTAAGCCGACAATAAAGTCACTACGCTTAAAAAGATGCTAACATCCTTTAATGGGTATGAAAGCCACTGCAGCAGAATACAAATCCTGCCTGTTTTCTCTCATGTTCCTGTAGCCTAGACTTGCATCCACTTCCATCCAGCACGCCCTGTGAAGTTGATTAATTGAACACTTTGGGACAAAAGGGAAACTTTTTATCAACTCTGGCCGTGGCTAACCCACTATGTGGGGTGTTTGGGGAAAAGCTGCTTTGCTTTATCTCCCCATCACTTGACGAGGTACTGGAGTGTTTGCCAAGAAATAAAGGTATCACACTTTCATATCAGATGTAGGATCAACATGGAGAGCCTCGTGTTGGGGCTGTTTGCCACCTGCTTTGGGACAGACACGAGGGGGAGTGTGGGGTAAATGTGGGGTCACAGCTGTCAGCAGTCTCTCAGTTAAACAGCCCAAGAGGGACTGCTGATATGAGGAGGGCAGAAACTACAGCGATGACATGATGGGGGACCCGGGGGTTATGCAGTCACACTACCACCATCTTCATTCAGCATTGCATGACGTATATAAACTGAGTGCGTGTGAGGAGCGGTGTGTGCATTTTTGTGTGTAAACATTCCTTTAGCGAGTTTTCTCAGGACTTGTGTGATGCTCCCACTGTGGAAAACTGTCCCCGACCCCTATAAAAAAAAAAAAAGAGCGATGCCCACTTCCTTCTACCCTTAGGCGTGCCAGTCCTGCCTCAAGGGAGAGGGGCCCATAATTTATTATTTGTTCCCCTCTTGTTAAGGAAATACTTTCTCAATAGCTCTCTCTCCTTTGTATATTTGTACTGTTCTTATTTTCTTCCTCGATTCAACCCTGTCCTCTCTTATTTATTTGCTTTCTAAACACCAGCTTGGTTCATTACGTCCGTGCTGCCATGAAGAGACTTTAAAAAATTACTTTTGTCCTGAGTGAGGACAGTGTTTATTTGTCTGGGTGAACCTGAAGGGGGAAAGAGTATTTTGGGTATACCTATATGTAGGTGACAGCTGAGCTGAGTCATACAAGCTGACCTCGATCCCCATTAGCTCAGGCCTTAATCAGATTCCTCTGCTGCACATTTAAAATTTGTGGACCGATGAAACTAGCTCAGATGTCAAAATGTATCAGCCTTGCCCTGCCACTCTTAATGTAAAGACATTCCTGCACCGCTTGAAGTTAATGGGATGTTATATCCACAGCACGTGTTGTGTGGAATAGCTTCTTTCAGCGCCAGCAAACCATCGTGAAACATTCAATCTCACAGCAAACGTTACCCAGAGGAACTAAACTCTGCTTTATTCCCAGCAGTGACTTCTTTGTTTGTTGGTGTTAGGCAGGTTTGGCTGTTTTCTCAATCCCCCCCCACATCCATCCAAAGACACCATCAAGGCAAAAAAAAAAAAAAAAAAAAGTGGGGGGGGGTTGAAAAGGCCAAGAGACTGGCTGACCACTGATGCATGACTCAGCTTTGAAAATCTCCGCCTTCAAATCAAATTGTCCGGCTTCAAGGAGCAGAGGTGCCCCAGCGCCGCCCCGGGCCGCTCAGTGTCACCGACCAGCTTTCAGGGGTTAATGCGCATTTCTCTCAGTTGTCAAGGACGCGTGATGACCAAAGGAATACAGAGGAGCGCAGAGGTCACCTCACTCACAAATATCACAGTCTTTGAAATACTTAATTGTGTCCGGAAAGAAGCTGCTTGAATTAACACATTTATAAATATAAACACGAGTCATTTTTCTGTTTCTGCTTTTGTAGAAACACGTCGGTTTGTTGATCATAAGATGAAAGCTTTTTGTGTTATGTATTTTCAGGGTTTTCTAAGAGTCATCATCTATTTTACCCAAAGAGCATTTCATAATGTGTTGTAGACGCTCACTAGATTATTTAATTATTAACTGTCATGAGAATTCATGTTTTCCTTAGATATAGTGTGGTTTCCAGGGCAATATTGATGCTTTATATTTTTGTCAATCCATCACTTTGGTTCAGACTAAAATATCTAAACAACTATTGGATTGATCATCATGAAATTTGGTGCAGACATTCATGATCCCCAGAGGATTAATCCTGAGTCCCATGACTTTTCTAGCGCCACCATGAGGCTGATATTTATGGTTTTGAGTCTAAACATCTCAGCCTCAGCTGTATTTTAAGTGTTACTTGGCATGCTGACACACTAAACTAAGGTGGTGAACATGATAAACATAACACCTGCTAAACATCACCATTTTAATCGTCATTGTGAGCATGTTAGCATGCTGACAGCAGCATTCAGCATCAGTGCTGTTCCCACATACATCCTCACAGAGCTTTCTATTGTTGCTCCTAGAGTTGTGTAATAATTAACCTCTTTATGTGCACAAAATGTCTTTTGTTGTTTTAGTATATAAATATTGTTGATCATATTTTGTTCTTGTTAGATTACATAACACTTATTAATACACCTGATTGGGCCTAAAATCCTCCTATTCCCCTTCCTAGGTATTATTTGATTTTTGGGGGGATATTTGACTGCTTGGTCACCAAGAATGGTTCATAATCTGTGTGACTTTTGTTACTTGGACTACTTTATGCTTTTGCACAGCTGTCTGAATGCAGGTGTGCAAAGATCAGTTTTTCTGCATGGAAGCACATTTACAAGAGCAGAATATGAAGCCTAAATGTTATTATTCTGTTCCAGTCCATTTCCTGGATTTCCATACAGTCAATCCCATTTCCTCAAGAGGCAGAGAAGATAAAGAAGGGAAAACACAACTCTAAGAGGAAGTCTGTTTTCTTAGATATTGTCATATTTACCACGAGGCAGAGACAAAGCAATCCCATGAGATCCGGAATGCTGGATGGTTCGCTGGCTTTTTATTTGAGAGATGTAGTGGAGAGCACTGAGGGAATACAACGTCTTCCACCTCCTCTCCTCTGAGGTCTTGATTGAGCTCTGCGGCCCCGAGAAAACAGCAGCTTCCTCCTGAGCCGGCCATGTTTCATGTTGGGACAATTAAAACAAGTCACCGTATCCACCCACTCCCAGCCCTTTCTCCAGACACTGAACTCAATTATTACAGAGACTAACTCCTCATCACCACAAGTTCACAGAGTGTGGCTAATCTGATCTGATCCGTTATTAGCAGCATTTTTCATCTTTATGGTGGAGCTAACAAGCCTTTGAGATCGTTAATAGCTGGGAATGTTCAAATCTCTCGTTGAACATGAAGATGAATGAAAGAAGGATCACTGAACATTAATCTCACTGTGCTCTCTGCGTACTTATATTTTGTGGGGGAACGTCTGAAGCATTCACAAGCAGTTCTCATGAAACAGGGATTTTCACAAAAGAAATCACACAGTTTAAGGTGATCTCTCATGCGACTAGTTTTATTTCATTTAAACCTAAAGCACATACTGACGCTTGTGCAGAAGCGGGAATTACAGATGATTTATCACAGACGGCTTGAAATAAGGAAAGGATTACAGAGGAATGCATTACCAAAGGCTTATTTCAGTAACAGCAAATTGGGACATTGCTTTTTAAAAAGGAGCAATAATGAATCACACAGTTGTTTCTTGTAGAAACATCCAGGTGCTCATTTTGTAAGAGCCACAGAAAAAACAACAACTTCATGAACCATTTGAAAAGCAAACAGTGCACTGCACATCTGACAGTCGGTTATATATATAAAAACAAAACATGAAGGCATGACTGTAAAAGCAAAGGCAAGGTGGGATGCTCTTAGTGACCAAAAGGAGAGCTGTCAATATGTTTGTTAACAGTGATGGGGTCAAGGGTTAAGAGCAGGTAATCAGACAAAGTTTGAGTGATGGATGAGGTGGTATCAGAGGGGGAATGACTTCACGGAGCCGCACAGTTTAACTTGTCTGCATCTGTGTTTCTGTGTGTGTCGGACTCAACAAAGAGGGGACAAATCATTTATGAAACGTATCAGTTAGCTGGTAAAGATAAACCCACTTAAGGAAATATTCCTGCCAGACACTGAATGGATACACACTCATTACACAGCCCCCATCCTCCCACCTCTTTTAGACAGCTCCATCTTTCTTGGGAGTCTCGGGGTCATCTCCCAGCGACCTGTTATCAATGGCCCGGCTTAGGCCTCCAGACGGCATTAATCTGTCATGATAAGTTCTGCTTAAATTGCTGCATTGGTACCTGAAGCTTCATCCTAGTGCTGGTGTCAGTGTGTTTTTCCTCGTTTCTCTTTGGTCTGTTTTCTAATCCACGCGAGGGGGAGCACCCCGCCTGCCAGTCTGACTCTGCGGCCTCACGTCACACGTTGCACAGCCTCTCCTCCTCTTCCTCCACCAGACTCCTGACAGGAATGAACCAGAGAAATACGTAAACGTACAAAGTACATGTGACCACATTGAAGTACTCACAGGTAGACATTAGATTGCAATTTCTTGAGCTTTAAGTTTCCTCTTGGCATCTCACCCTAAAGGTTGCAATAACTGATATCTTTGAACGCAATAACAAGCGGTAAACACAACATTGACATCATCTTATAAAGTTGATATGATGTACTAGTTAGCAAACAGCTGATTATTTACACATCCAGCAGACATTGAGTAACTTTATCATTCATTTGACGTCATGTTTGTGGCCACCTGATGAATGTTAATCCAATATTTAATCTATTTTAACTCTGTTTTTGGTCTCTACCAACTCCTGAGAAAATATCTGGCTCTTCAGCTGCTAAATGCTTCACTGTGTTTACAAGCTAGTCTCTAACTGCGTCTGTCTGCTGTTTGATGCTGGGAATGTAACATATAGTGGGTTTTAAAAAAGCTATTTACTGAACACAGCTGTCTGCGACATCTGGAAACGCTGGTGATGAGAGAGATGAGAACTGCAGCAGTAAAGCTGCGAGCCAGAAAAGCAAAACAATGAGCTGAAAGATGTTTTTTAGCTCAGTGGTGCTGAGGAGAGTCATTTAATTCATTGTTAATATAAAAGTATGAATTACCGCAGCTTTAATATACAGTAGGACCTGCAGTACAGTCATCCACTGCACTTAACCAAAAAGGATCTTGTCCCTGGTCGAGCTACTTGTTGCCGAGTCATGCAGCAGCGTGAGCACACCACAATGAACAGCAGAATGAATTACAGTATAATATGGTTCACATTAGCAGAGAGCAAAAGCAGTCAGCATCTGCCTCAACTGCTCAGAGATGCTTTCACAGGCGATAAGCTACCCGGTAATGGCAGCCAAGGGTCATTAGGGTCTGTTTTGCAGACAGTTTGCCACAGCACGGCGAGAATAAACAACCACCATTTTCATTTCTTATTCATGGGTTTAATCACGGATGACAAAACATCCAGTAAACTTTTTAAAAAAGCGAGGACAAAAAGTTGGCGTTGACTGTGTGCCTTTCCTGTGCCTTGAATGTCTTTGGGACTGTCTGTTGGGTAACAAGAGGGAATTAAAACTGTGGCGAATTTGGAAATTTGTGTAAAGAGACGGCTGACATTAACAGGCTGGCGTGGAGAAGAGCTGGCAGTGGCCCAGCGCACAGCGCTGACATGTGAGGACCTCTTTGCCCATTCTAATGAGGCGTTGTGAGGGTCTGAGCGCAGGTCTGCAGCAGGGCCCCCTGGGGGTCAGATGCAGTCACATATGCGACAGAGGGACCAGGAGGAAGTCTGTGGCAGCAGGATGAGGCAGTGGTTAAAGTGCGTCAGTCCGCATACCAGGATGGCAGATAATTAAACAACGTCAGAGGAATGAGGGAATGTCAAGAAACGTCTTGAAGTACATGATACAGTACAGGATACTGCCTCATATTCAGGAGCCATTTCCTGTGACCCCAGTTGGCCTGTGATGTCAGTCCTTTGTTTGCAAGAATATCTTAAAATGGACAATGTGGATGTCCAGGTGGCATTATGAGACGATATTCAAGACGCTTACGCAGAAACTTCTTGTCGAAAAACAATGCTGGACACATCATTTCCAAGTGTTTTCTCGCTTGATTCACAATTTGCTCACACAGTATGTGAAGAATGTCAAACAGAGTATCGAGTTAATTTAAATCTAATGAAATCATCCCAGGGTTATTGTGTGCTTTGCCGCAAACAGCTAATTCTCCTCGACAGGTTTAAATAATGCGTGGCACTGCAGGGGACGTCTGTTTTCATTTGACCCCCTACCGCAGAGACGGGGATCTACAATACATGTCAGGGAAGTCTCAGCAATTCACATTTTAATTGCAATCAGAAACTTCAGCAGTTGACTTTATGACACCTTTAACGGGAGAAGTAATCAGTGAAACCACCTGGTGCAGTGTTTTTGTTGGAACGAACACCTCCATGTTCGCCAGCAGACATGGCGGTCCATCTCTGATCTAGAGTGCTGGTTCACAGTTGTCCTGCTGACTGACAGTCTCGCTGACAGTTGGACCTCACTGTTTGAAAGGTCTCCTTAGTATAATTGTACGTTGTGTACGCCGTACAGCCAATTGAGGGGTCTCGTTTAAGAACAAAGACCGACAGCTCTTTTTTAGAGGAGAATGAGAGTTGTGAGGGTATATAAGGGCTGTGTGTATATGTGTGTATAT